GTTATAATTTTCCTATACTGAAAATATATTTTTGATAGGTACTTACCTCCACTCACATATATAGCTATTCTATGATTATCGTGGTTCAACTGTGTCTCCCATGCAAATCCTCATGTGACAACCTTCCACCAATAGGAGTGCGACGCACCCTCCTGATGCATGTGACTCCCTCTATTCAATTCTACCAAACTATCACTTCGAGTTTAGGCAGAAAAGGAAGCACTGGTTTTCATTGTGGAGGAAGGGTGGGAAATGTGAGAAGAGGTAAGTACCTATCTGAAATATATTTTCAGTGTATGAAAATTATAACTTCCAATATGGTATATTACCTCTTCTCACATATATAGCTAGAATCCAACACTGAGGAGGTGGAAGAACTAGTGTGAGGGATAAAAAAAAACACTTCGAAAGCATCCAAAGAATACCTTATACTGATGATACTCTTAATAGAACATATATGTGGGAGAACACCACTTCTGTACCAGGTATACTCTTCACCCAGTGTGAAAAGAGCTGTCGCAGACACTGGCAGAAAAAAAGAAGGAGCATAACCAAAAGGGAGAGAAAACGGATGGATTGGAATCCAAACCACATAATATCATACTCTCAACCCCATTGAAGAGAGGCTGTAGATGAATCCTCTACAGATGGTAATGTGGGGGGAAAGCAAAACTGGATGCACTCTAAGGTGTAGAGTGGATAGGAAAGGATCATACAGCATTGGAGTGCATCACTAACTTCTGGGTACCACCACATCGGAAGTGGATTGCCTCTATAAATGATATACAACTGCACCCTCTGGATAGTCGCAGAAGCTGGGCACAACATCATCCCTTGGAGCACACCATAACAAGATTGAGCACAGGAATGGAGAACCAGCTTAATCTACACCAGCAGAACACCACCACCTTACTCTCAACTGAATGGATGTATTTATTTATTAAAGTTAGATCACATACAGGAAGAAACCTGTCTGGTCCACCACCCCAGCGACTCACAACTGGAAAGTAGCAAGGACTCTGATACTCCACAAGAAGAACAAGGAGGGATAAAACATGGTGGGGAGTATGGAGGAATGCCAACACCAGAGACAGTGCAATGGGTCATCAGGAAAACCCTATTTGAAAAGCACACCGCCCGTAATTTATTCAGTCAATAAGATGGCAGTGATGGGCAACTATCCCCTTCTGTTTTACCCATGTAAGTCCATTGGTTATTAGTCTGGAACAGGCATATTAATGAAGTAAATATATCGTGAGGGAAAACCTACTAGTGATCTTGTGGAACACCCCATCTCAACAATGTGAATTATTGGCCACGGGAATATTGTATTTTATGATAGCATCATAGCCATACAGTACAGATTTGTGATATATTAAGTATACCTGGACAGGCAACTCTTGCCACAGAGCGGAATCCTGATTATAGAAAAGAGACATGCCCCTGAAAGAAATTAAAATATGTATTAAAAAAAGATAACTTACCTGGTCACTGTCTCACCAAAGTTTGATGGATAGCGATAGGTGGAAGACAGAACCCTGAGGAGGAAGAAAGAGCCATCCAATGCAGATAGTGGGAGATGAACATATGAGAAGTAGTCCACATGCCTGTTTAAAAAAATTCCTCCAATAGACAATGGAGGTAAGACGCCAGGAAAAAGGCAAGATGCCTGACCTGATACGACAATACCAGGAACAAATTTCAGGAAGAAGGAGACAAAAAAGAATAAGCCAATTGAATCAAAAGCCAAACCCAATTGGTAGTGTTAAAGGAGAAAGGTAAAAAACAGAGGAATGTTGCCAGGGGATGAAAGGCAAGAACATGAACCATGGAAGGAAACTGTGTGGGTAATGTAACAACGAAGAACATATACAGGACATAGAAGCTTATACAGATCAGATCGAGAATAAAGGTGGAAGATGGAAGGATGGGAAATCCGCAAGAAGGAAGAATTAACTTCACGAGCTGCTGAAGTCTTGGGAAGGAAGAACATATGTGGAACGGTACAGAGTGAGTGAGACATTGATGGCAAATATATCAGACCGACAATGTACACAGGCTATTAGGAGTAGGAAGTAAGTCATAAGGGACAAGTGTAGGTCAAAAGTTCAAACAGAGTTAGAGTAAGGCAGTAAAGAACAAGATTGTCATCCCAATCTGGAAGGACCACTCAATGACAAGGTATACGAATCCAGAAGGAATGCAACAAATTGGTGAGGGTAGGGGAGGTAAACACAAAACTGTACTGAGGAAAATGGAAGGTGTGTGATAAGGCTGCTCAATATCCAACAAAGAACAAGACTGAAGTTCCATTATCGAACAGCCAAGTGGGTCTAGAAGGGGAAAGCCCCAACTCAAAGACCAACAGTGGTGTTGATATGGTAAGATTGTTTGGTCGTAGACAATTGTCCAGGAAGCCTCCAGCTGATCGACCCATGCCCCCCAACCAGGTAGGGAAGCATCAGTGAAGAGATGCAAATCATTGAGGAAGGGAATTTGGAGAATCCAAGGGATCCCGAGCAAGATTCCAGTGTCATGCTGAGTCCACTGAAGAGACCGCATTTGTGCCCAACCCAAGGGGATAAGTGCTTCCATAAAAGCCCTCATCCCCTAAAGTAATATAACCTCATGAGAAGAAAGAGAGGGAGGAGCAAGAGTGTGGAGAACTGAAAGCTCCATCAAATAAAAAAGAAGGTTGGGCCTGACTGAGGTGGGAGTTCAAAAAGAACCCCTAGCAGACAAGATATGGGTAGGGGCAGGAAAGACTTCTCCAACATAATAATCCAACCCACTTGAGCAGCTTTGGACAGGAGACAAGTGTGATGTGAAGACTCCATTTCTTAATGGGTTAACAGAAGCCAGTCAACCAAGTAGTGTGTAAGCATAACCCCCGAGCATGTATAAGTTGGGCAAAGGTTTTGACAACCCGACAAAAGACACACAGAGCCGAAACAAGCCTGAAGGGCAAGGTGCAAAACTATTACACAACCCTGTGATGGACAAACCAAAAATAGCATCTACACTTAGGAGAAATAGGAAATGTGTTGATTGGCATTCAAAATGTCTACCTTGGTCATTCACAATCCTGGAGAGAAAACTCCCCACCTTAGTGTGAGGAAGGACTCCATTGCAAAATAGGGAAGATCCAGAAATTGATTGAGGTGGGACAGATCGATCACAGGATGCCAATCTCCAGTTTTTTGGGGGTACCACAAACTGCCTGGAGTAAAAGCTTCGAGAAGAATGGTTGACAGGATGGCTGAATGTTGCCTCACAAGTTCCACACATGATTCCAAAGGTTCAGGAATATTCCCAAAAATAAACCACTGGAAAAAAGGAGCCATCCACAATTCCCAAATATAAGTGGATGGTAAAAAAATCTGGGATAAGACAGCATTCCTCTCCAGAATATCCCAACAGCAAAGAAACCACGTGCAAAGAGATAGAGCCAAGGAAGATAATCGCCTCAATGTGCAGGTAAGGAGGGAGAAGGTATTTCCAAAAATTTCTCAGGAGATTGTTGGAGTGCCACAGAAAAAAAGTTGCATGTGTACAAATACTACAGAAGATTCATAAGGGTAAGATAGAAGTGGGAAAACTGGACCTAGGATAAATGGACAGGATTGTCAGGGTCAGCCCCCCATAATGGCAGTAGTGATTCTAATTGCCGAGAATCATGAAAGGGGTAATCTGCCTGATAGTAAGCCAAGGCAAACTGATCCGTGGCTCATGGAGAACAAGGCATGCTAGCATCAGCTCACAACTGAGAAAACAAAATGCTCAGCATGATCCCCGACATCAGGAGAAGGAGGGGAAACGATATACTGGGAGGAAGGGGTGTCATGCAATAAGGAATAAACAGGATTATAGGAAATCGGGGAAATGGATAAAATGAAACAAACCTAAGAAATAATGTCTAAAACGGCTGAAGTAGGCCTAACAGATTCTGCAGGAGAGGTACAGCATAATCGGGAGGAGGAAAAAAGCTGTCAAAATTTTCGTCATCACAAAAAGTTTCGGCAGGTTCAAGAGGAAATCAAGCACTATCGGGAGAAGAAGGTTGACTCAGATAATGTTCAGTCTCCTGACGAATTAAGGCGGAAAATTTCTCACTCGAGTCCCCCTGACTTGAAGCCTGTGTAATTGTGCTGATAGCATGTTGTAGAATCTTCGAAGTGGTAACATTAACTTCAGTATTCATAATAAAATAATGAAAATTATTCAAATACAAAAGAAGAACCAAGGTACATTATTACTGAAAATTGTAAAAATAAAACAGTATTAAAAGATATAAAAGATCTTTCCACTTCATAAGTATAATATTAATAAGAAAAATGCGTGATGGCAGCACAATCATAACAGGTCTTGACTATAGCACTGCCTAATGAGAAGTGATAATTTGGTAGAATCAAATAGACAGAGTCACATGTGTCAGGAGGGTATGTCACACTCCTATTGGTGGAGGGTTGTCGCATGATGATTTGCATGAAAGACACAGTTTAACCACAATAATCATGAGAAACATGGAAGTGCAAGGCTTGTGGCATGCAAAAAATTTTTGCATATAGAGGGCAGCACTGAACGAGAATAACTATATATGTGAGATGAGGTAATGTACTGTATCAGAATTTGGCTTTTTATTACGGATGAACAAACGTATAATAATAAATATATCACCCAAAATAAGAACTTGTATAACATATATTGATTCCTTTCTATTACTTTTCTCACTATGTTTGTGCATAAAATTGTGAATAATCTGTTTCTGGAGGGGGTAACAAATATAACGACACATTACAATAAATCTTATTTTAATATTTTATTCCACTTGTTACGATTGAATTTATCTTAATTTCCAATGTAAGAAATATAAACTACAGCCCAATGTCTCTTAAATAATTGATTTTAATAGCACTTAAATGAGGCACTCTAATACTGGGTGAAACATTTTGTTCCCAAAAATCATACATCAAACATACTGCACTTTTCTTTAACCAAAAACCCACACTAGGTCACTTCTTCCTAACATTCAAGCATTACAAAATAAATATGTATTAAACTATTTTACCTGGTTCAAAATATGACATCAAACATACCCATTAAAAACCTGAAGAAACACTTCTATATTTAATATCCACTGCACTAGTATGTGGATTGTTCGTATCTCAACCTCCCCAGAAGGAATCATATTTTAACTTCTATGGTACATGAGTATAGTTACTTACATTACGTACTGCACTGAATTCCTGGTCATACAAATGAGGAAAGAACCAAAAAAATCCAGGGCGAAAGACATCACGCAGCAGTAAGATGACACAAGAGCAGACATAAATCACAGTGAAACCCATTACCCAATAAAATATCAGAAACATTGTGGGGGAAGACTTGAAATTATCCTCAAGATCCTGAGCTGTTCTGTCAAATATAGTCTGTAGAAGAAAAAAAAAGGGGAAATGCAGATCAACTAATACATTGCTTTCAGTATGAACAGTGTTAAAGATATTCACAAAAAAATTTTTTTCAACCCTCTCGAAATCATATCATATTAATTTCAAATAGTTTCATGTATAATCTTAACGAAAAAGTTTTACTACTAGTTACAGACAAAACCTTGAAAATGGTTGACAGCACATAAAACACTTATACTTGTTTAATGCTTAATGTATTTTACTATAACAATGTTTAGCATGTATTTTATGTAGGTGAGCAAGATATGCAAGGTGTGTTAAGATTCTTATTAATTTGTGCATTTTGGTGAATAAATGTTTTAAATATCAAATCTGCAAAATAGCTACTGAACGTTTGCAACTAATTCCTCAAAAATGCATTTTTAATTACTAATTTTGTTTGCAATCTTATGTTTTTATAACCTTAATATTAGTTCTCCATATGTGAGAAGCATACCTATGGTTCAAAATTAAAATCATTATTTCTATTCTAGCAGTAATAAAAAATATATCTTTACTTAACTCACAAAAAGCTCAAACTTTGCACTATATATACACTGTCATTATTCACAACCTGTAAGAATGATTTTTTTTGTCTTTTAATAAATAATTATGATGCAAGTTAAGAAAGTACAAGTCATATGATGTCATATTTATAAATAATCTAACTATTTTTTTTTCATATTTTTGCAATTTATTAAGATGTCTTTATACCATACAGTGTAAAATGTTTCAAATATTCAAACCACAGTTAATGTGGATTATATAGCAGCACAATATTTTGACATAAACTTCTAAATAAACTACACAGTTAATACAAATGATAATAATTTACAATACAAAATGTATTCTATAAAACTAACCGGGAACAACTTAGAATATAAAATGTATTCCATAGAACTAACCGGTGACAATTTACAACATAAAATGTATTGTATAATACTAACTGCATAAATTTTACAATAAAAATGTACTCTATAAAACTAAGAGGTAACAATTTACAATATAAAATGTATTCTATAGAACTGATGACAATTTACAATATAAAATATATTATACGGAACTAACTGATAACAAGTTACAATATAAAACGTATTCTACAGAACTAATGACAATTTACAATATGAAATATCCAGAACTATCTGGTAACAATTTACAATATAAACTGTACTATAGAACTGGTAACAATTTATAATGCAAAGTGTATTCTATAGAACTAACTGCTGACAATATACAATACAATTATATTTTGTAGAAATGGTAACAACTTACCATATGAAACGTATTCAACAGAACTAACTATAAATGATTTACAATACAAAATTCTTCTAGGGTTTATTCAACATTCATGTTTCTTTAGATATTGTAGTCTAAGAGTACACTGGGAATACATTTTTCTGTACAAAATTCGTCTAGAGCCAGCTTAAGATTAATTTTTCTTTACATATTGTAGTCTAATGGTCAGCTGGAGACACATTTTTTTATATTACCATACAAAAGATCAATTACAAAATGAATTTCTACAGCAACATGTATTTTTCTCCAACTAAAATTGCAATTTATTCTAATTCTTTTCACATATAGATGAACAAAGGCACAAGGATTTTGCAGTGGAAATTCTTGGCAAAAATTGTTTTCAGATGAGGCTACATTCCACATTTCTAGACAGGTTAATTGGCATAATGTCCATATTTGGGGTAAAAAAACTCACACATGGTGTATGAGCACAAACAGGACAGCCCAAAGATTAATGTGTGGAGTGGGTTGACAGAATTATTGGGCCATTCTTCTTTGCTGAAGAAACTGTGACTGACACAAGTTACCTAGAATGCTCCAGCTGTTTGTTGTCCCTCAATTGGAAAATCTGCCTCATGTTATTTTTTAACAAGATAGTACTCCACCACACTGGAGTCTTGATGTCAGAGAGTTCCTGAATAACACATTCAGATGGATTGGTAAAGATGGACCAACACGATGACCCTCCATGTTCCCCTGACATGACCCCTTTGGATTTTTTTTGGGGGGGGGGTTGTGATATCACCTGTGTGTGATATCATGGATCTTTGCCACAGAATAATTGATGCAATAAGAATTGTGAATCCCAAGATGGTGAACAAAACCTGGAAGGAGACAGCGTATTGCCTAGACATTCTTCGAGCAACAAATGGTGCACATTTGGAAGTATATTACGATAAGAAAAAACTTTATGAGTTGTTCATCAAATTAAATAAAACCAGAGTGTTCTATCTATGATATTTGTGAAGTTATTAATCTTAAAAATGGGTCAGATAATTTATGGACACCCTGTATGATGAAACTGTGTGCATAATCCAAATTTTTGAGTATATTTCAACTGTAAACTATGAAAATAAGTAAGAATTATTACATTATGAAAGTATTTTACATAGAAATTTAAAATAATCTGTAAACCTAAATAATGATTAGAAAAAAAGAATTGTTAAGAAACTCTGGTATATTTGCCTTTTATAAAAAATATACATAGTCTTCAAAAGAAAGGCAATATTGTTCAATTGAAAGGGAAAGGTTTTGAAATGTTCTCTTGCAGGTTCATGTGCCCTTTAGGAACCACTGACTGCTACACAAGTAACATTTAGGTGTTGAAGAATAAGAGGTATTGAGAAGTTCTTTAACTGCTCAAACACATCAAAAGGATTGTACCTGTTGCTTTAAACCATGTTAATGTTTAATAATAACTACACATCAAATGTTAATGTTTAATAATAACTACACATCAAATGTTAATGTTTAATATCAACTACACATCAAATGTTAATATTTAATAACTACTACACATTAAATGTTAATGTTTAATAAACACTACACATTAAATGTTAATGTTTAATAATTACTACACATCATCATCCAATGACATCTGATGATTTGTGACCTATTAATCCAAAACTTGTCTTTTGAAGACAATGCTATAATTTCATTAGCTCTAAGCCAGCATAATACTTGCAGAATTGACAAAAATGTTTTAACTTTAAAACCTAACATCTAATTTTTTATTACTGATATAAAAAAATATTAAGTCCTTTTCATTTTCATTTAATAAGTCAAAAACACAGTGAACTATTAAGAAACATGGATTTAGACTAGCTAGTCTTTTCTTTCACAAAGACTGCCCCTCAGTGGCTCAGAAGTAAGACTAGTGACTTACTGGACTAAAAATCAGGTGGGCAGAGCATAAACAGCCCACTGTAAAGCTTTGTTCTTGACAATTAATATACAAATGTCTATTAACCAATATATCAAGACAACATCAAAATAGACTGTACATTTTAATGTATAAAAACATATATATATATGAACAAAAATATACATTCACTCTCCTGTTTTTCCTTTAACAAATACTTGAAAAAATATCCTATTATGTTTTGTCTTCAGCAAACGTTTGAAAAACTAAATATTTAAATTGATATTACAAAACATTAATACTTGTTAGAAAGAAATTGACAGTGACATACCATTGTGCATATATCCAGCCAAAATCCACAGAATACTGGAAATAGTATAGCATCTAACACAACCAGAAGGAAAACTTTTACAGCTACACAGCCCAAGCCTAAACACCAACTCAAAAAGAGGAGTCCACATTTGAAAAAGATGTAGTTTAGACAGTAAAAAGTTAGTCCAAGAATAATATAACCACTCAGAAATCTCTGAATTCCATCAAAATATGAGCACGGAGTTTTCATGTCCTACAAGAATGTAAAATTACTTCAGGGTAAAACAAATATATAAGATAAGGCAAACATACTTATATTGTGAATAAGCAACAATAAAATATAATGCTAACGATAATGATAATCATGATATAAAAATTCTTAGCAATGTACTTTAACCACACATAAAAATATAACACATTTATAAACATTCTGACCAATGACAACACTTTTCCATAAGACTATGTTTAATTTAACCTATTTAAGAAGTATGACAAAAAAAAATCGCCAATGTGAACTCAGAATATTATCTAACTAGTTTGCTGTTTACCACTGACAAAATACCATTTCTGCTCAACTGGACCTTCAGAAGTGTCGTATGTGCAAAATTGATGGACTATGACGAGGAGAAAGACAAAAATAATCTAAGGTTAATGTATTTCTCAAGAGTCACTTATAATGCAAATTATGAGGGATGGGTATCTCATCGTAGTAGTCAATACGATACATATCTAGATATTGATGCCAGAAACGACTTGTATCTAGATACA